AAGTCATGTCCATTGACTTCTATTGCATGGTGTATACCGTGATAAATGGGTACTTCCACAGATTTTACTAATCCGCAAGTTGCCTATTAGACTCAATTACTTCAGTAAAAAATTTTAGGCTGCGTTTGTTGGTGATTTTCATCAGATTTTCGGCATAAATAGCCATTTTTTTAGGCCCACACCTCTCACACACAGTCAAATGTTGCGGCTGCTTATCCAAATACATTTTGAACAGTGATTTAACCTCATTTTAATAACACTTTTTTCAATAAAATAATATTACAAAAAAGCTCGAAACTTTTTTTTATTTATTTTTTCATCACACATTTTCCATCATAACACTATTGCAAAATGTATTTTGGGAAAAAAAAAATGGGGCTCAAACAAAGTGAATGAAGAGAGTGAAAGTTGTAATAACATACAATCTATTCCTCAACAAATTAAAAATATAGAAAATAAAACGACGTCTATCGCTTTTAAAACTCAGCCTCCTTTAATCATAAATCATTTAAAAATTGATCAACTAAATATTTCGATGCACTCACAAATATTATTTACTTATTCAGAACTTGTTTTTACCTATTTATAAGTTAAACACATGTTAAATAGAGATTAAAATCAGATTTTTAGTAAATTTTGATAAAATTTGATAAAATATGTTTGAAAAGTTGTGGGACCCATGAAATATATGTATTAAAATTAATTATTGATTTTGACTTAAATTAAAATTTTGAATTTTAATCACTACCAATTAAATGTTTACAAATTCCCCTCGAAAACAACTGGTGGCTAAGTCTTGTACCAAGTTGAGAACCATACACGTGTAAATTGCAAATTGGAAGACTGTTGTCTTGGATGCCGGCAAGCATTATCGCAATTGTTGACAATTGACTAGTATGGGAAAAATATATATTTTTCAAATTCAGCACCTAATTTGAATTCAAACTTATGTGCATATTCGTCGTCCTGAAAATAGAATTGAACTACACGAAAATGAAGAATTTCCATTGCGCATGCAGACCATAGGAATACTGAATTAGAAACAAATGGTATCCAATTTAGACTCAGAATCTCTTAATTTCTTTGCTTATGAACCTCACATGCAAGTTCGTTTAGAAATACATTCCATTCCCATTCTAAATATTTCAATTCTCACGTTCTCTTTGAATGGTATTGCAAAATAGCAGTCTTTTCCTCCCTTGTTAGTCAATAAATCTTGCAGTATAAATTGCTCTCCAAATCCTCCATTCATCCATAACAAACACATATTCACTCTCTATTTTCCTCTCTACTTTGTGGGTTTGTTTCTTACTAGAGAAATGAAATCATTTATTAGTTTCTTCGTCGTCCTCCTCATGTTGTTTTCTTCAGTCATGTTTGCAATCGAGGCCCGTCCTCTTAATGGTGCCTCGATTTATATTTTGTCCTTGAACGCTGTGAAGGCCGGTCCGAGCCCTGGTGAAGGACACAAGTTTACCAATGCGAAAACACTTGGAGGAAATAAGAAATCTGGTTCGAGCCCCGGGGAAGGACACAAATTTTCCAATGCTCTAACGCTCGGAGGAATTAAGAAATCTGGTCCAAGCACTGGTGAAGGAAACAAATTTACTAATGCTTACACACTTGAAGGAGTTAAGGAATCTGGCCCAAGCCCTGGAGCTGGACACTAGTTTGCTTAGGGATTGGATGGGACTCTACTCTATCTCCACTCCATGGTTTAAATTCTTTATTAGTAAAGTGGTGAGACACCAGAGATATTCTCACTATTATTTATTATTCTTTTCCATTAATGATAATTTTCAATTTTGTGTGGATTCACACCTTAAAGGTTGGAATTGTTTATTCAATCAAAATAAAGAAGTCTTGCTCGATCAAAAACTAGTTTTTTGTTTGGAAATTAAAACTTGACTTTTGTTTGGTGCTTTGAAGCAGTTGGAAATCAACATACCTATGAATTTATCGTTAGTTCATTAATTCAAATGTTGTTATATTCGAAAAAATGACACTTGAAGATGTGAAATCATAATCATTTTTTTTTTCCAATTAGACCACCAAAACCTTGATGCTTGTCACTTTTTACAAATATTATGAAAATGGTCACTTTTGATGACATATTGTATTTAGAGGAATTCACTAATTTGATCAATTAATATTCCTCGAGTTCAAATCAATCTTATCCAGTCGAACCAACTAACTATATATCTATGTTAATCAAATAAATTTAAACTAAATTCATTAATTCGCCTTAGAGTTCAATTAATTCCGCAACATAATTAAAGTGTCTCTCTACTTTCTATCCAATTGTTGAATTTTATTACGTAGTCTAAATCTATAACTAAACTTTTAATTCATTACAAATTCACAATTCAATGAAATAGTGATCAAAAGCTACCTCGTTGGTCTCCAAAACCTCTCTAGTCATTTGAAATTAGTCTTCCGAAAGTTCTGAA